GTTCAAACCCACCAGCCACTCCTCGGAAGGAAGGTTGGACAATCCACTTCCGTAGAGATACTGCCTTGGAAACCCAAGAAAGGGTCGCTGAGTCAGATCTGACTCCACGGCAGTAAGAGTTATTACGCTTTGGGTGAAAGTTGGCAGTGCAAATTCATTTTCCATCCAGCACTTAATGCACATTTTGTTTCCTGACCCTGATTGCAATCCCCATGATGTGACAGCTCTCTTCCCAGTTCCTCCCCGGGGTGGCGACCTTTTCTCTGTGTCCTCCTTTCCTTTGTACTCCTGCCCCCCAAGCTGTCTCCCCAGGCAGCTGGGGGAATGAGTTTATTATCCAAGCTGGCAGTGAGCAACGCCCAGGAGTCAGTGGTCAGCACCCAGGGCTGCCGTCTTGTCCTGGCCGTGCTGCACGTCACGTCCACTGGGAGAGAGAGGTGCCAGGTCTCCGTGGAACGTCCCCCACTGTCCCTTCAGTTGGATACACTCAGCCCTCTACTTAAAGGAAGGAGCCCTGTTAGTGCATGAGGTGAGCGCTCAGCTGATCACTAAAAAGTTGCTGGTTCAAACTCACCCAGCTGCTCTTTGGGGAAAAAAACCTGGCAATCTGCCCCTGTAAGGGTGACAGCCGATAAAAACCCTAGAGGCCAGTTGTGCTCTGTCTCTGGGATCTGCAGGAGTCGGGACTAACTCAATAGCACCCAACAGCAAGAAAGAATTGAATGGAGGTCCCAAGCTATCACTAATGGTTGGTGCTCAATTCCTAATGTAAAGGATGGTGGTTTGAACCCCCCTAGTGGCCGTGTGGGGCAGAGCCCTGGCAGGATGCTCTTGCAGGGCTGACAGCCAACCCAATTGCGTGAGGATAGTTCTAGTCTCTAACACATGGGATCGCTGTGGGTGGAGAACCCAGTCCACAGCCCCCAGCAACAATGACAGCTCGTCAGAGAAAGCCTTTCGGTCCCCTGGGAGTGGCATCTTGGGGATTCTAGTCACCTCCACCCTTTTCTGAAAATCCTCTTGGTTGGGTAACAGTTGTGTGATGTGTGTCCCATTGGGGCACAAGCGTGGATGTTTTCGGAGGCAGGGCAGAGACCACAGGGGCCCTGAGGGACACAAAATGGCTTGGGCTCGACTGTTAGCCCAACCGTCAGTCACCTGTCAGTCTGTCCTGCGGTGGCTTGTGTGTTGCTGTGAGGCTGCAGGCTGTGCCGTCAGTATTTCAAATGCCACCAGGGTCACCCACGGTGGACGGGTTCAGCGGGACTCGCAGACTGAGAGACTCGGAAGAAGGAAGGGACCATGTGCCTCTCGGAGGACTGGGCAGTGAGAACCTTGTGAACAGCAGCGAGACACTGTGGGATATAGTACCGGGAAATTTTATGAAGGGCCCCAAACACTGTCAACAGTCGGGTAAGGTCTAGCAAGGATCGTGAGGCTGGCACGGGACCGGGCAGTGTTTTGTTCTGTTGTGCACAAGGTCGCTAGGGGTCGGAGCCAACTTGGCGGGACCTAGCAGTACCGCAAGCAACTAGCCCAAAGGTTGGCGGTTTGCACTCCCCCAGCCTGCAAAACTGCTCCTGGAATGATGGCAGCCGGGAAACCCTACAGAGCAGAGCTCTGTGCTGACGTGCACAGGTCGCCATGAGTCGGAGTCCGCTGTGTGTTGCTGTGATGCTGAACAAGGAGCCCCGGTGGCGTGGGGGATAAGGCACTCATTTGCCTGCTAACCAGAAGGTCTGAGGTTCAAATCTCCCAGGTCCTCCGTGGGAGGAAGATGAGGCAATCTAGCTCCATGAACATTCACAGCCTTGGAAACCCAATGGGGGTTGCAAAGAGTTGGAATAGACTCAATGGCAGTGGGTTGGGAGGCTGATCAGGTTTCAGGGGAGCTTCCAAACTCCAATTAGCAGAAGAATTTGCATGAAAATACCAAAAAAGGAGACATATGGAGCTGCAGTCTGGCAGTGATCCTGACGGCACAGACAGCTTAGATATTGCTGAGTGGTGGCAGGACCTAAGAATTAACCTAAAAATCAGCCCTGCTAGCCAGAGACTGCATGGAGGACTGCTCTGGGGGCTGGGGAATAAAAGGTGAAGCAGCGGAGAGAAAGGTGGGCTGAGCTGTGGACTTTTGCCTGTCCAGAGGGCGCAGCCATTTTGAATGTTTACAAGCGACTTGACCATTTTGGATATTTAAAGCAACAGCATTCTCCCAGATTCCAGGAGCTTAAGAACAGGCTTTGCTT